TGCCTGCCTGCCTGCCTATCATCTATCTATCTATCTATCTATCTATCTATCTATCTATCTATCTATCTATCTATCTATCTATCTATCTATCTATCTCATAATTGCATATTAAATTATGATTGCATAATTTTCCAGAACAACTTCTTTCCATGCCTGAAGAGAAAAGTTTTTGATCAGTGTGTGCTGCCTGCTGTCAACCCTGAAGTGTACCTGGCTGAGGCAATCTTGGAGGCTTCATTATTGCCACAAAGCAAAAGAAGGGAGAGGGAAGGGGAAAATAGCTAGATGGGATTTTGTAGCCAAAACAAAAGAATTTTCCTGTGGGAACCAAGGACATTCTAACAGGTGGCTGGCCAGAGGAGGAGTGAAGTAACCAAGCAACCAGCCAGCACCTTGGTTGGACAGCATGACTTGGGACTTGGGGGAAAGGGGAAACTTTCCTTTTTAATTAGGTGAAAGCCACAGGAACCTTTAGAGTCTTTAGAACCAGTTGTGCCAATATGATGTATCCAATAAATTGTTCTTTGACAAATTGTTCTTTGCCTGCCTCAGAGTTCTGCTTTCTATGGATGCAACGCTGATACCCGCTCTAACATATACCAGTGAAACATGAACACTAACCTCACAATTGTACAAAAGCTATGAGAAGTGCAAAAGCCATGGAACAATACATGCTCGCCATTACAAGACAAGATAGAAAGACCTGAACATGGCTTAGAGAACAAACAAAAGTATACAATATGCTCAAGAGAATAAAAGAATTGAAATAGATATCGTCTGGCACGAAGAAATGATGGCAGGTGGACCAAGGCAGTCATAGAATGGATCCCACTTGATAACTGCTTCAAAGCCTGTCTAATATAGCTAACTGTAAGAGAATAAACAGGATAAAACTGTTGTGGTGGGAACAAGTTGTAAGAGCATAAATAAATAAGGCTACACAAAATTTCAAATTCAAGGCAATTTGATCAAATCATCCTTTCAATCTGAAACTTTCAATTTATTCATGGCACCAAATCAAATCAGACTCTTCTGAATCCATGTTGAGATTAAATGGACTTTTATACCTGCAAACTTTTTAATCAAGTCAAATAAATTATCTGAACTGATGATTCAAACTGAAAATTCAAATAAATTCAACTCACGGAAATGCAAATGCAAATCTGATCTTTAATAATTCACATACGCCAAGTGTTAATATGATTATACTGATACATTAAACTATTTTCCCTTTTTGACAGAACCAAAATTACACAGTTCAGCATTACATTGTAGAGGGCAATGCCCCTGGCTTTGGGAGGTTGCATTTGGCTATGAAGTCACATACTGTGCACTGTGGGAACAGATAATTAATTTCTACCTTGTTAGAATGGTTGGTCAAGACAATGATCTTCATCTTTTCAGTTGCATAAACCTACAACTAGTCACCAGCTGTGTGTCCTTTCCAGAAATCCTAATTGTATATGCATGATTGCTTTTAGCCCCCTCTTAAAATAATTTATATGTGCAGATAAGAATTAATTACATTTCATGGTAGTAGAATTTCACAATTAAAAATACTCAGCAATTAGCTGGCCTCACAATTTAGATTGTGCAGATCGTTCTGTGATCTCTAAAGCAGTTATGCTATCCATGAAACTCCTCTTGTAAGTAAGTTCAGAGAGGTCAATATATTTGAGTACTCAAATACTTCGGCCTAGTTTTCATGTTGTTGCTATGCTATTCCATTTATTAAAGTGAAAAACACCCATTGCAGTTCCTTTTAATATCAGAACAAACCCAACACCTTTGGCACTAAAATTATATGAAGCCTTTGTTCTTTGCTCACTGAATCTAACCCACACAATTAAACAATTGCAATCTCCTTCCTCTACAAAGAATATTTTTAAGCATATATGGGTTTGTCCTGACCCTGCAAAACCAGTCTGATAGACATTCATTATATTTAACAAGCCCAGAGGAATGCTGATTAGCAGTAATGGAGAAGGACATTATTGCAAAGAACAAAGAATTGGTTCATGTTATTGTATACAACCGGTGACATTAGGAAAAAAAAACAAACAAGAGAGAACCTCTGAATGGAAAAAGGGGGAAGATTCTAGGAGAAGTATCCAAGGAGTCTGCCAATCATTTTGTATCAGAAAGCAAATCAATGTCCTAGTATAATAAGAAGTGAAAAAGCTAAAACAAAATGTGAGGATACAGCTCACTCTCCAGAAAAATATTCAAAGAGCTTTACAGTAAGAAATTGACTTATCCATTAGATTCTCAATTCTTTGTCTCACCCCTCAGCCTCATTGCTCTAATCCTGATTAAAATGAGGTGAAAGTTTCTGACGTTTGGGTGAAATAATTAGCCTCTATTGCTTTATGAAGGAGACAAATTTCTGTTCATTGCTTTTGTAAAAATAACTAGGCACAATTATGCTTTCCTCTGCAATTTCTCTTCTGTATGAATGCTCAAGACAGGCTGGTTTTTTTCACTAAAACTAAAACATGCATCCCTAGTTTATATACATATTTCTCCTGGTTATCCAAAGAGATGAAATTGTATCTTTACGACTTTGTTTCCTGGGAAAATAGGTATCAGTTCACAATTCCTGGTCTGGGGGGAGAGGCAGTATGGGTACTGTATCGATAGGAAAACTGAGATACTGCCTTCAATAGCTGAAGTCTATTTCATAAAGTGTCTCAGGTAATGGTGCTGGAAGATATGAGAGAAATACAACTCCTAAAGTGGTTACAGTCCTGATAGCGCATGGGCTTGAGATGAAATAATAACAGCTGTTAAGAAGCTCGTTTAAGAGGAAGCATGCAAAAGTGAAGCCGAATAACCATACTTCCCATAGTGTCTCTTTACAGCGACACATATAAGAAGCAGATCACAATGGCCAAACAAATAGATAAAAAGGTTTTCTGCAATTTGGAGGACTCTGGTGCAAAAAATGGAGGCATAAATCCCAATAAAGCAGGAAGTATTATATTAAAGCAAGGTCATGCTATAGCATTTGATGAGTCTTAGATAATTAGCGATTGATGCAAATAAAGAAAATGTCAGACCAATGCATAACAGTGAATATCGCTGTATGCAAAAATATGTATTAAACTGTTAATCTCTACAGCAACTCTAGAGCAAGACCAAGTTAAATAATACTGGCTCAGCTAAACTTCAATTACAGCTGCCTTGTTCCCTTCCATTTTGAAGGGCAGTAGAACTTGGAATGGCTTTTTAAAATTATTTTTTATACATTGTGTTTGTAATCAACCCAATAATGAAAATCTCTGGGAAGATGACTAACTTACTGTCTTAACATAACATTGATTAGGAAGTAACATTTTTTAAGATTTTTTTTTAAAGGAATTTCAATGAAATCTAAGGCAAAACATCTGCCACAGGTATCAGACTGTCAAAGGTAGAAAGTCTCATAACTCTAATGGTTTGTGACCGATCTGCCAGGCAGTCCTTACTTAACCTAATAATAAGAAACAGCTAGAATTCTATGTCCCATACAGCACATCATCTGCATGATTGGGAGCCACCCAAAGTTTGGTATAAGATAGGCTGCTATATACAGTAAATGTTTTAAATACATAAATAAAAATAAATAAATACAAAGGAAATGCCAACATCCACGTCAGGCAGGCTGACTAGAAAGCAATGCCACCTAATTTGATCTCATTGAAGAGCCATGGTGGCACAGTGGTTAGAGTGCAGTACTTCAGGATGCTTTTTTTTTAAACATATTTTTATTTCCATTTTCATAACATACAATCACATGTATATTATACATAGCCAGTATCATATAGTAATTACATCAGTTCCTCTAATCATCAACGCCCCAAAAATAAAAACCCATTATTAGCTCTTCTACTCTCCATACACCTCTTTCTTCTACCTCTCTCCTACTTCCTATCTTCCTTCCATCATCCTTTCCTACTCTACTTCCCCATCCCTTTTCCTTCTCCTCTCTCTACATTCCACTCCTCCTTATCCTCATCCTCCTCATCTTCCCCCCTTACCCTCTCTCCTATCCCTCTCTTCCCATCTTTCTCTCTACATTCCACTCCTCCTTATCCTCCTCATCTTCCCCACTTACCCTCTCCTCTCCCTCTCTTCCCATATCCCTTCTGTTTCCCACTCTTCCTCTCATTGGTGTATTTCCGCTTCTGAGCAAACTCCAATCTATGTTGATAGTATTTATACTTCCATAACAATATACTTAACATATCATAGTTTTAAAGAAAAAATAAGAGAAAACAGTATACATGTGCAATCATATTACATTAAAATCTAACACCCCTCGTCAGACTTACCTCCCTCGTACCCTCCCCCCCCCCAGCTTTTGCTGACTGCCAGCTGCCTGCAAGTTGGCAGTTAGAATCTCACCAGCTGAAGGTTGACTCAGCCTTTCATCCTTCCAAGGTGGGTAAAAGGAGGACCCAGATTGTTGGGGGCAATAGGCTGACTGTAAATAGCTTAGAGAGGGCTATAAAGCACTGTGAAATGGTATATAAGTCTAGGTGTTAATATGATTTTGTTGTCATTCTTGTGCAGACCCTTCAATAAACACTTCAATATCACAGATTATTCCAGACTGACACATAATCGATTAAGCAGGTAAGGCTGGCAAAGGTGGGCTGAGCAAAAGCTACAGTTCTGCAAAACAAATTGCCAATCCTTGAAAACCACAGCCATACATCAACAACAGTTGATCTCCATTACAGAGCAGGACTAAAAAAATGAAAGGTTTTTTTTTAAAAAAAAATAGTTTAGTTTGCCAACCTCAAATCAAATCACCACCATGTTAACATTCTCTTGTATGTTCCATTTCCACCAAAAGGAACAAAAATAGAGTAGTTGAAAGACTATTTGTAAAACTCTTGAGCATAAGTAATCTATAAGGGTGATACATTCAAGAAGGAAAAGTTAAAGGATCAGTAACTTAGAGTTGGGTTAATCAAAAGAGTTGCCCCAAAATCTAGTCTCATCCACCCAACTTTTCCCTGAAAATGATCTTGTGCAACCCAGAATATAGTGCAATAAACAGGGAGTAATCACAAATAGCTTTGAATGAACCACACAAGACAACATAAAAAGGATAAAAGAAGCAAAGCCAACCACAAGCTAGAAGAGATATTTGTATTATATAACATAACAAAAAGAAGCTGTTTAATTATTCTTTCCCAGAACCTTTTATTACTTCCTTTTGTAGAACACATTTGAAGACTGAAGTCTACAGTCTGGGTAGAAAACAAAGAAGTAGGAAAGAGTCAACTGGATGATATACAACTCACATTTTGATAAGCAGAGCTGAAGGATGGAAAAATGTTTTTTATTGTTTAGTCTAGGAGATGGTGTACAGTTCAAATAAAATATGCAGCTGATTAATAATAGGAATTCATGAATACACTTTATTAGGAAGATACTTAATGTGCAGTTTATCATCAACTCTCTTTTCCTTCCTCAAAAGTCCAATTTCCATAATGGCCAGATTTTACAAGGGAAGTCTCTGCTCTTTCATTTTAGAAGCTGTCTTGAGAAAATGACAGATCTCAGTTTAAAAAAAAAACCTTTGATAATTGAATAACAAGCTTTCTTTCAAAGTGCTTAATGAAACACTTACCTGAAGGTAGATTATTAGCAGTTTGTATGCTAATTTAAAGTTGAAACAGTATCTACCGTGCAGTTTTAATAAAAGTGCTGCTTTATAAAAATGTAAATGCTGAACCACATTTGTAACCACATTTAGAAAAGGTCACTCACTATCCAAAGAGTCAGAAACGTGCATAGTATGTCTTATGTACCCATCAATTGCCAGGAAACCATCTAAAACCCTTTGGATAATGCCTCACAGAGATCAGAAAGATAAGCATGGAATCAGGAAGCACATCTTAGCCATCTGGAATCCCAGGAAGCCAAGCTTAACGTACCGTCGTCATCTGTGGGGTTCAGGGGGTTTGACTTCAGTGTGAAGATTTTTCGCAGTTTACAGTTGGCTGAAACAATAATGCCATCCAAAGACTGAAAAACAGCGCCTTTGAATATCTCACTGGTAAATGTCACCAGGTCAATGCACAAATTGCACCACTAAGGAGAAGGGGGGAAAAAGTTTAGAGACATATTTGTAAAAATTAATTTTCAATATAATATACTATTAAAAACCAATTGTATTTATTGCTTGGCTTATATACCCCACTTGCCTCATCTGCCTCTACATAGCCCAACGGCATAGAGTTAGTAGCATAACAGGTTTGAATTCATGCAAGCAAAAAAAAGAGACAATAAGTCATAATTTTGAAAACTGTCTCTCAAAATTTCCTGAACCATTGAAAAAAAATTAGGTTCTTCGGTGCTGACATTTTTAATGGAGAATAGATAATCTGTGACTGTTGGGATAACTCTTTTAGAGATATTTCCATACATAAACAGAAATACCACATGGACAAAAAATAGAGGGAGCAGTAGTGACTTTTTATTGACTTGGATTATCTCTTTTTTTTCTGTGTAACATTTTTCCTCAGGATGTAATTAAAACCAATTTTCCTTCGAGGTAAGGCTGACTCTTGGTGACTTCATGAATACATATATGTAGTTTTCTTCACACTATTTAACAAGTGGCTCTTCAATATCTAGGTTTTGGGATTTTCTTTTTCTAATTTCTCAGTATCACCTACAATTTTACTTTTTTTCTGGAGATTTCCAACCCACAAGATTTAACTGTATTTTGCTTCGAAGGAAGGGAACTACTGTTTTAGGGTAAATTTAGTTTTAGGTGAATTTTAGATATTAATCACATGGTGATAGTACTAGCAGCAGTACTTAGACTTATACACCGCTTCATAGTGCTTTACAGCACTTTCTAAGCAGTTTACAGTCATATTGCCCTCAACAATCTGGATTCTCATTTTACTGACATCGGAAGGATGGAAGGTTGAGTCAACCTTGAGCTGATTAGAATCGAACTGCTGGCAGTCAGCAGAATTAGCCTGCAACCCTGCATTCTAACCCACTGCACCATCACCTTTTATGAAGGGTGCATTAAGATAATATAGATGTTTTGTCATTTGGCCTTACCCTCCCCACATGTACTGACTTGTTTATGAATTGATACCTTGGCCAGTATCAGATATCGTGTTTACCCTCTCATGAATGTTTCTCTATAAATTTAAGTGTTAAAAATGCACAGGGAGGGGAAATTGTACTTTGTAGCCAATGATTATTTTTCTTCTTCCTTCCTTGATCTAAAGTGGAAGACCATCACCAGAATTGGAAGGCTCTAATTTAGATCTTTTGGCATTGCACAGTTTCCCCCAGAATCTTAAGCAACATTCCCAAATGGGAACATTGGACATGGCAGTTGTGTACCTCTATATGGTGATCCAGCTTTATTTGTGCAAACCAGAATTCTGTAAATGATCTGCAGGTAAGGTGCTGGCTTGTCCAGATTGAGTAGGAAGAAGTCTTGAGAACTGATAGCTTGTATGGGCAAGCCAGGTTTTATGTCCGAACTCAGTCCTATTCCATTTGGACAAAAACCACAGTGAATCTAAGTTCTCATAGGGCCCTGGCATGGCATGTATAAAGACAAAAAGCAATGGAATAAGGAATCCATTTGATATTAAACTGATATCTGGCACACTCACTAGGACCAACAAGAAGTTCATTTCTTATATTCATAGGAAGGTCACATGTATTCTTCTCAAGTAGTCACACTACCACATATGTTGAAAATCCGAACTTCTAGTATGCATTTATATTTTTAAAAGCTGGCTTCTGTAGCCAATCAACATACATTATAAGCTGCGGGGATCAAAACTGAAACAATTAATTTAATGTGTTTCAGAAGTACATTCCAATGTATCTTAGAGAAGTAAAATATAACTTTCAGTATTTACACTGTATGATGTTTTATTCCACTGAGGATGTTTGCCCCCCATTATTAGTTTAAGGAAACAAAAAAGAGTTCCAGTAGCAAAAATCAATACATTTCTTGGAGCATTTTGTTTATTTGTTCCTTTCACCTTCCCCTTGGTTTTCAGAAACAGAACTGTTAGGAGCATGGAAATTAATCTTCCTAGATCATTATTTATTATTGCTGTTACTTTAAACCTCAACAGATTTTACTGGCTGGGACCAAAATATATCAAAGGCAAGGATTAAGGTGCTTGCTTTTGATTTTTATTTTCAAGTACAAAAAGGAAACTGTTGTGAGTGAAATGAAGGGGACATGCTTATATTGTACAGTAACGTAACACTAAAAGATAGGATTAATTCAGAACACATTCTGCAGTAAAAATTAAACCCACATAGTGAAATTAATTCCTGACTTTTGACTGTAGAAAAGAGATTTAAAAATTAGACATTTCATTAATTTGATAACATTTCTAAGGGATGCATAAAACATACCAATTTCATTTTTTTTTAAAAACAAAGAACTATTCTTATTCCTGGAAGAAAACGTTGCATATGTATATAGTTTGGGGGATTATATGACACACACATTCATATTGATTTGCGTTTAAGGATATCTGAAAACATGGACACCATCAACAAGGGATATAATATTATTAATGACATAATGCACCCAAGAGAAACTGACCACACTGGAAGTGAAATTATAAGCCTGTTATGGTCCCATGATGTTTCACTCAATAACTGTGCTGCTTAGCAACTGAATTGCTGGTCCCAACTGCAGTCACTAAATTTAAGTACTACCGCTTTTTACTACAGATTGCATGAATGAAATGAAATGCGTGTTTTCTAGGATATCTTAAACTGAAACTTATTTCCCTATATACACGAATTTAAGAATTCTCTGTTGTTTTCCTTAACCCCCCACCCCACCCCCCAAATTTTAGACAGAAATCTGGAATCATTCTTAGAAATGCACTAATTCTAGCTGGAACTAATTGCCAGTGATGTAATTGCAGAGATAAGGAAATCATCTTATAATACAGGATCGTGTCTCCTAATTCTCATAATCTTTGACTTACAATGTTTGTTGTTTTTTATTTAATTTCTATCGTATCTTTTTACTCAAATTGAACAGTTAAGGCGCTATGCATACAGAATTAATAACATAACATTATTGGAATGCTTGGCATGAAATTATGTTTTGATTCTCATCCACTGAATAGGAATGGGAAGAACAAACAGGACCTGGAAATTGTCAGTATGATTCATGATTGATCTCGTGTTCCAACAATCTACTTAATCTCCATGCCACATAAGTGTCTAATGATGATCCAGTTTGTACGACACTGTGTGCGTCGCTGTGCAATTAATTCTGAAGAAATATGTGAAATTAACCAGAAAAACAATTTCTTGTAATCATGATATGCTGGATCATTGGTAGGAAATAGAAAGTAGAAGAGACTCATACATGACAGTAATCATTTGAACAAGAAAGGAAATATACTTACAATTTTGCGCTTGATCATAAGGAGAGGGATTTTTGCATGCAGAGGGGTTATAGACAATTCTTTGTGGATCGTCGATAAATACAATCTTCTTTTAATATTTCCTAAATCAGTTATCCTGCAAGAGAAAAAAAAAGGTGAGTACAGAGATGATAGAAATTGATCTCTATCAATTAAAAAAACCTTTCTCTCTCGGCAGCCACAGAAAACCATCATTCACATGTAAAAGCTTTATATCAAGGACAGCAAATGGAGAAGTTAAATATTATCCTTCTACAAGATAAGTAATGAGATTTCTCTCTCAAATTCATAGTCGCTTCAAGCAGAATACATAAAATCACTTTACATGTTAATTTTATTTCAACGCTATGCACTCTTCACTTGATTTCCATAGCATTTCAAACTTACGAAAGAATTCAATTTACATGAATTGAGAAACCACAAGTCTTCAATAATCATACTCCCTCCCCCCAGCCCCCTTCAGCTTGTATAATCTTGGAAAATGCTATCACATCTCCAAAAAGGAAAACTGTATCTGTAATATCATATGGGCTTTGTTTAAAAATAGATGCAAAACATTAAAATGTCAGTTTCTTCTTCTGATCACCTACCTCCAAATATCAAACCCACATGCTTACTGCTATTTAAGCTGTTCTCCAATGATGCCTGAGACACTATAACTGAACATCACTATCAGGTTAGAGTCACAAACAATTTGGTCTCCTATATGCTGTTTCCCATGTCCAAAAATTTCATACTAGCTAAGTTTCTAATTTCATAGCTGAAAAGTTTTGTTTTACCGGAATGTAAAGTTTTAAACCTATAAGCTTATTCAATTCCCTTTTTCCATCAGGCTAGCAATTCCTATTGCTTGCTTCTCCTTTTCTGATAAACAATTTTAGACAAGTCCTCAAAATCAGAATATTTTCCTTTATTTTGGATATACATGCTAAAAGGGTTGTTTCTTAGTCTGAATGTTCCCAGTTGACAGGTGGCAATGTTCTTGGGACAGCTTATGGGAAAAATATAAAAAAATAGTAGGAAAATAATCCTTTAAACGCATGGCACAACGTAGGAGAACAAATCCATCAGGACAAGATTCAGCAGTCCATCTTCATTTGAAAGACAAAGGTCATTCTTTTGAAGACCGCAAAGTTCACATTCTGGACAGAGAAGACCGCTGGTTTGAAAGAGGGGTCAAAGAGGCCATCTACGTTAAGACTGAACAGCCCTCTCTCAACAGAAGGGGGGGATATGGCACCACCTATCCCTTGTTTACAACATAATTCTTTCAGCAGTTCCAAGAAAGTTGTACATCTATTTGCACTGCTCAGTTGATGCCGAGGATACAAATAAACCTTCAAGTCGCCTCAATCACTCTCAGAATGAATGCTAACAATTAGATGACTGCAAGGAATGTAAATCCTTCCATTTTCCACCCTTCAGTCAGAACTGAAGAAGCTACTTGGATGAGAAGCGAAATATCTTCAGGAAAAAACAAAGTTCCGTTGCCTTTTGAAAAAGCATCTTTGGGACAGCCATGACTAATGACTCACTTAATCATGAATGAGAATCTCCATAGACAATCATTTAAACAGGAGTGGGAGCCAATGTAGTCAATGAAGACTAAACATACTCAGATGCAATGGAATGTTGAGGGGGAGAAAAGCAAAATGAAGCAAGTCAATGGAATAATTAGAATTATTTTTATGAAAAAGAATGTATATCACCTTCTAGCAGGAGACTTAAAAAGAGATTTGATCTTATAAAGAACAAGGTGCCAATGAATCAATTCTTTTAAGGGATGAGAATAAGAAACTATCACACATTATTCATTCACATTCATTAACAAGTTAAAACAAGCCAGTGTGGTCCAGTAGTTAAGGCACCAGGCTGGAAAATGGAAAACTTGTGAATTCAAGTCCAACCTTAGCCATGAATGCTGGCTGGGTGACTTTGGACCAACTCACGTCACAGGGTTGTTGTGGGAAAAATAGCAGGAGGAAAGTGTGTTGGATATGTTCACCACCTTCAGTTATTTGTAAAAAAAATAATAAAGGTGGGATACAAATGAATACACATTTACATCCTGCTATGGTGCATGTCTAGTGAGGTTCATAAAATACAGAAAACAAAAACAGAATGTAAACAGTTGAAGACATATCTTACAATTAACATTTAAAAGCCCAACAAAAGAGATGCATTTTTACAGCAAATATAGATGGCTCTTTTCCAGAGCTTTCTTTTGATACTCTCCTATCAGCTCTACTGGCAGGAAGATTTTATGGGAGTCCTTATTTGCACAAATTTTGGTCTTGTGGATCAAGGGAGGTAGAGACTCTTCCTCATGTCCTCAGATCTTTTTTTGATGTCACAAGGTGTTCTTTGATCTTCTCAAACAAAATCATTTCCAAGTATGAGTGCCAACACTAATCTATAGTATTACTTTTTAAGGGATGCTAACCCCACACTCATATATCAGATGGCCAAAGATCTTCAAGTACAAAACTTTCAATTAGATATGTTGTTTTATTATACTATTGTTTTCTTTTCTTTTCTCAACAATGAGTTCTTGCATCAAACTATTTCTTATTTTTACTGTAAAGTTGGTCAAAGACCGTAATAAAGGAATTTGATTTGATACAGATTAGTTAGCTGCTGAGACAAATGGGGAGCAAATGCAATTCTTGAGAGAATGCACTCCATAATTTGAGAACAATATGTAAGTGCAAAAATTTGCAAAAAAGACAGGCATCTAACAAGGAGATATATGCCAATATTTATTTCAAGGATTTATATGGTGACCAGTGCATAACAATACAGTACAATACAATACAACTATATATAATAAACAGAGAATTACAATAAAACACAAAAAACAACAAAAATCACAGCAAATATGCAAAATTGGGGTGCACCAACATGTACTATACAGGTAGTCCTCAATTTACAAGCATTTGTTTAGTGGCGATTTGAAGTTACAACCACAATGGAAAAAAAGTGACATGATCATTTTTCAGATTTACAGCATCCCCATGGTCACATGATCAAAATTCAGACGCCTGGCAACTGGTTCATATTTGTGACATTTGCAGAGTCCCAGGGTCATATGATCACTTTTTGCAACCTTCTGACAAACAAAGTTAATGGAGAAGCCAGAGTCACTTAATAAGCATGATACTAACTTAAGAACTGCAGTGATTCACTTAAAAACTGGCAAGGTCATAAACCCTAACAACTATCTTACTTAGCAACAGAATGTCACCCTCAATTGTGCTTGTAAGTCAAGGACTACCTGTACTGGCAGGAGAGTGTATCAAACATCCAGACCCAAATTTCTTATTCAAAAGATCACTTCTTGGTAAGACCATTGAACAGTCCAGCATGATACCAACATCAATGATATCAGAAGCTGCCTGGCAGGGTCTCACTTCACAGTTTTTGGATTAGGTCATTCATTAAGGCAATCAAAACAGCTTCAATACCATATGCCAGCTGAAATCTCAAAGGGAATGGATTCACATAATCACACCATTGAGATGTACCTGGAGCTCCAAGACTAGTAGACTCATGCTAATTTTTTTTTCTAGGAACGAAATCTGATTTTACAGTTTTCCTGAATCTTCATCAAAGGTCTTATTACATCTAGGGAGGACTAGGGAGCCTTGTTTCTTTTGCAATGAAACATGTTCATCTCTGTTAACCTGGCGGACTTGATGTGTCCACATCCTTTTATCTCCTTTATATGTTCTGAGAACATCACTAACTTTTTTGTTGTCCTCGTCTTTATAAAACTACCTTCTTTTCTTCCCGTATCTATTTTAGACTTTTTCCATGATCATTTCATCCCATGAAATCTTACCTATCGCTGCTCTAAATGCTTGCTTAACTGCAAGATTCATATATGCAGTAGTGGGATTCAACCAGTTTGCAACACTTAGGCAGAGCCGGTTGTTAACTTTTTGAGCAGTTTGGTGAACTGGTTGTTGGAAGAAATCATTAGGGCAGAGAACCAGTTGTTGAATTATTTGAATCCCACCATTGCGATATTAGATATATAAATTAGGAACCCCAACATTATATAACCACGTATCATTTTCATGCTTATACTTTTTAACTAAGTCTTTCCTACTGGGTTAATATCAAGTCAACGACAGCTCAATATCTTGAGATTTGAAGAGAATGTGGTCAGCAACACAAGAATTATTGGAAGGAATTGGTTTGGCGAAGCTCGTTTCTCAATAGAAACTGACAGTAATTAATGCTTCCAATCACTACTACTCTATGTTTCTTTGGAAGATCTGTAGCTTCCTTCTGAAAAGGCTGAATCTGTACAGGAATTTGGAGATAACTTTAATGAAGATATGTAAATGTCCTTAGGAATAGGAAAGTGTGAAAAGAACCTTGCCTTGTCCTGTTTGGTATAAAGAGAGGCAAAGGAAAACTCTGTCATTACACCCTATAAATAGGGGTGTCAAACCCGGAGCCTGTGAGACAGATGTGTCATGTGCTGGCCATGCCCACCCTCAGTTTAGCAAAGGGGGAAAAGTCACAATACATCAGGCGATGACGTGACACCATTAGTTTGACACCCGCGTCCTATAACAATAGCGTAGCATTCCTGTGATGTTTGCAGGGTTTATTTACTGAACTGGCCTGCCTCTCAGGTCTAATAAATTCGTATCTTCTGTTTGGTTAGGTGGATGATAGCAGACAACTGCATTATTGATTTTGAGAACGCCGTGTGGCATCAGGGAAATTATCCATCCAGGAAACGCTCAGCTCCATCCAGTTGCCCACACTCTACCCCAAATTAAGGGATTACAGGGTAGTAAAAAGGGAGTTATTTAAGACAGCTGCATTCTACAGTTATCAGGTTCATTCACTTGGATTTCTGAGCAGGTATAGGTATTTCTGACATAGAATGCAACATCTGTTTCCCTTCTATTGCTTAATTTATTCCTTGTGAATAAATTATATCCTTCAATTGCTTTATTTTAATCAAGGGAGACATGTGACCAGATTTATTAAATCATATTTGTCTCTCTGAACTTGGAGTTTATGTTAATCTTCTCATGCCAAAGACAATGCCAAAACTGTTCCCATTTTTTTTTTCCA